CAGGCAGAGACGCTGGAGCCCACAGGGCCAGAGGCGAACTGGAGGCAAGGAGTCGAGTCCAGCCAGCCCTGCCGGTGGCTGGGGCTTGAGCTTTGAACCGGCTGAGAAGTTGGTTTTGAAAATGCAAAGCAGGGGTGCAAAGCACTCACGAACACTTACTGGCATCTCTGGAGAATGGCTCCGGCTCAAGGCATCATTACAGTAGCTTACAGTTGACCATGATGGGCGGCTTGGTGGGGCACAAAGCTTGCTGGTTGGCTGAGCCTAAGGGTGCTGAGTGCCCCCCCCTCCTTGTCTGGAAGCAGAGTCGCAGGGAACAGAAGCTGGGCCTCCATGCTTGTCCCAGAAGGGTCCCCAGCTAGCCGTGGATTTTCTACCCTGCTCTTGTCCCAGGAGAGGAAGTGTCAATATACTCATCTTCACAGCGGCCGTGGCTCTAATCTGGTTCTCAGCGCCACCCTTGCCAAGCTGCCAGGGTGGAACCTGGAGGCCACAGCAGGGTACTTGGAAGACCAATGCTAGCAGAGTCAGCCCCCCAGCCCCGCCCCACAGGTGGTCCTTCCCAGAGATGACCAGGAACCCAACAAGATGGCCCAGCAGAGACGGACAAACGGCATGTTTCATAGGCAAATGGAACGATGATGTCAAAGACTTACAGTCAGAGGGAAACAACCGCAAAGAAACCACCTCCCAACCACAGTCTTAATCCCATCACCCAGGCCGAATGATAAGCTACCCATCTTTTCCAGTGTATGGATTTGTGTCTTCTCCCCTGAAACAAATCACTTCTGATTAAGATTTCCCGGAGCGCCTCGCTCGATGCGTGGTCTCTTAGGAACTGTCAGGAGAGATGAGTCAACCCGTCGAAACCACAGTCCTTACTGTCCTAGAGACGTGGGCCTTTGTGTGGCCCCAGGCTCTTTGTGTCATGGCTCATGGCGACAAGCCGCCGAGCCAGCTGCACTTGCAGTCTGCAGCCTATCTTCTTAGGGGGACTTTTATGAGACACCGCAGGCCCCCAGGATAGCAAGGCTCTGCCAGCTGGGCTGTCAAGAAAGACCCCCACATGTCAAGCACCCCTCTTTAGGCCACGTAGAAAGAGAAGGAGGGGCAGCAGGTTCTCAGGGACCCCGGCTTTCTGAGAGACGGTGCACAGACAGTTGGATAACAAAGCACGTGGGCCAACCCAGGCTCACAAGCATGTTCTGCCCTCTGAGTGGATCGAGACGGGGGATCTCCAGAGATAACCCAGCCTTGGCCCTCTTGCCAGAGCTTCCCTAGGCAGGGCCGATGCTGGCAATTCAGCATGAGGCGTCACCCAGGAAGTGGTGGCTGGCTTTGTTGGCTGACTTGATTTCAATGAAACCCCTATGGAAGGTCCTTCAGGGAGCAGCCACGACATGTTCCAGAGGGGACGTGTCTAACGGAGAGACCCCTACAGTCCTCTGGAGCTCTGAATTTGCCCTCCTTATGCACAGAGCCTCGTAGAGACCTTGACCTCCTCTTCTCAAGGGCTGGTGGATTATTAATTCCACTCAAGAACACAATAGGGAGCCTATTTTCCTGTGGCCCCGGGACCCCTGTGGGAGGCTTACAGCCCTTGGGTTCCCATAGCACCGCAGGGAAAGTACTTCGGCTAGAGAGGGATGCTCAAAAGGCCACCGGCTGGGCCTCAACGCTGCCAACAGCATGGTTTCCCAAGGGGCACAGCAATGCCCTGCCCACTTGCAGGTGCATACATGGGCCAAGGCCAGGGGTGTGGCTGGGGCTGGGGGTCAAGTGTGGCGCGCCTGGGACACTGGCAGGTAGGTTCGCCGCATCATCCCTACAGGGGACTCTTCTCCATCACGGGACCCAGCCCCTTGCCAGCCAGCACCATTCTTGTGCTGACATTTAGGGCCCTTGTCCAACCTAGCTCGCGGTGCCCTGTTGCGGACTTGGGGGCTCTTTCCTCTTTGAGGGTCCTGAAGAGTCTTTCAGAGTGGGTGCACTCAAAGCCTTTGTGGTCTGGGGGCACCCCGAGGCTGCCTAAAAAACGTGGGGTCCACACAGGTGTTTGTGGCAGCATCGTTGACAATAACCAGTGTGTTATACAGAAAGATTTTCCCTAGGTTGTCCCCCAAATATATGAGAAACCTAGGATGCTGCTTGCAACACATGATAACTGACTGCGCCCTTGGAAGCAACGTGCTTAGAGGTTATCTTCCTGAGGGGATCAGCCATTTAGAGCAATCAGACCCTAATGTCTATCCCAGGGAGGTGGGGCCCACTCCTTGCTGATAAGGATACTAGATTGTTTCTCTGGAGAAGAGCCCAGAGACAAGGTTAAGCTAACTCAAGGATGACCAAAGTTACGACCAAAGTTAGGCTGCCATCTTGAATCTAGGGTCCGCCCATCTTGTCACATGTGTACCCCTAGTCCCTCCCCTTCCTATTGTGTGCACACTCTTAGCTCACCCCCTTCCTGTTGCACACATGGCTATTGGACAGCCCCTTCCTGTTACCACATGGTTGCCTGTAATCAGGGGGCCTTGCATGACCCCTAAGTGTATATAAGCCTTGGTTAGAAATAGATTCTCTTTCTCTGGGAGGACCCGGCTGCTGAGATCATGGCCATCCCAGGGGTGAGCATGCTATCATAAAATGTGCCTGACTCCTTAATTTTATCTTCTCTCCTATCTTCTATGACTTTACTATGATCTTTATATATTATAGCCGTACATTGTGCCTACGAAGCCCTTGGTTGTCAGAGGCTGGTTTACTCTGACAAGCCAGGACCACCCACATGTCCATGGGTGGACAGCCACGCGTGGCAGCATATCACGCAGCCATGAGGGGACATAAAACACTTGCTTCCTGACCCACCCAGTGTCTGCCATGAAGGAGCTTGGACATGTGGTGCTGAGTGAGGCGGCCAGAGCCCAGAGCACACCTGTGTGATCCGGGACAGGCAAATGCAGAGAGGTGGAAAGGAGGCTCGAAGGCCCTGGGGGCTGGAGGCGGGGTTAGTGCTTACTGGGCAGTGAACTTCTATTTGGGGTGAGGGATGTCTTTTGGAAGTGGCTAGTGTGGTTGGTGATGGTAGTGTGGCATGGTAAATCTAATCATGTCACTGACTTGGACGCATAAAAGTGGTGAAAACGGCAGCCTGTGTTATGTATATACATAGTGGTAAGACGTAGACAACCAAGAGGCAGACACGTCACCATAGTAACAAACAGAATCATATCTACTGCACATATAATGTACAAAATATAATATGTACAAGAAAACCTCACTGCCATCGAGTCAATTCTGACTCGTGGTGACCCTATAGTGTAGCGGTTCTCAACCTTCCTCTTGCCTCGACCCTTTCATACAGTTCCTCGTGCTATGGTGACCCCCCAACCATAACATTGTTTCCGTTGCTACTTCATCACTGTCATTTTGTTTCTATTATGAATTGGGCGACCCCTGCGAAGGGGTTGTTCGACCCCCAAAGGGGTCACGGCCCCAGGTTGAGAACCACTGCTCTAGTGCAACGTAGAACTGCCCCTGTGGGTTTCTGAGATGGTCACTCTTTACAGGAGTAGAAAGCCCCACCTTTCTCCCAAGGAGGGGCTGGTGTTTAGAACAGCTGGTCTTGCCGTTAGCCGTCTAGCATGTAACTGCTATCCACCAGGGCTTTTCTACAAACATGTGTCTATGCTATATGGGACTCTGGTGGCGCTGTCAGGTAAGCCTTGGACTGCTAACAGGAAGGTCTGCGGTTCAAACCCACCAGCTACTCCCCCGGAGAAAGATGAGCCTGTCTGCTCCCGTAAAGATGTATAGCCTCGGAAACCCTCTCTATCCAAGTTTCCCTAAACGGACCCCTGGTTGGAGATGCTGGACTGATTCAGGGGGGCTGCAAAAGTAGATATCTACACTTTATCCTGGATGACGGGCTAGAGCGCAAACGTTTTTAATTGCCAGGGGGATACTGAGTAAACTTTTGTTTTTAACTGAAAAGGGGCAGGAGGCTACCTAAGTCTGGGAATCTATGCTCCATAGGGTCATTGTGAGTCGGAATCCGCTCGATGGCACTGCATGTGTTGCTTCTGGTTTTATGTTTGATGCATGCATCCCCTGAAAAACAAAATCTGAGCCGTTGGCCATCGAGTGGATCCCAACACAGACCAACCCGATACAGGGTTTCCAAGACTAAACCCTGATGGGAACAGGCAGCCTCATCTCTCTCCCACTGGGGGGGTTGAACCTTGAACCTGACCTTGCAGTTAGCAGTTCAACAGCCAGCCCACAGTGTCCCAGGACTCCTAAATATTACACAGGATATATGCATTTGTGTGGACACACGCTACAGGTAAATCATTACTTACATTTGGAATAAACTTGAAGCGCTGCACCTGTGCCTCTAGTCCATTCCAAGTTCAAATACTCTTTTAAATCATTTAAATAATATTTTTTAAACGTGACCAATTTCTCAAGTCCCCTCGATTTTTCAAACCATTCCTATGTTCTTCTCCATCCTATGGTGTGCTTTCTCAGGACTCTAAAGAAAACGGTCCTGTTGGCAACACAACATGGAGACAGGCGCTTTTTCTCCAATCACATTCAGGCCTTCGTCATTAAACAGGGTCACCCTGAGAGGCTAAGGAGGGGGGGACTGTCGGGGCCGTAACTGAGAGGACTGGCTGCAGGAGAAGGAAGCAGGTAGGGCCCTGGCCACTGTCCCCAGGCACGGAATTGGGTATCTGAACAGAAGATGACTCAGAGCCAGAGGCAGCCTCTGGCTCTAAGAGGCCCGCTCCACAAGTGTAAAAGCCATGAGTCTGTGCGCCAAGCAACTTTGTATCAAACATGAAACGCAAGAGCTAAGAAGAGAGGAGAGGAAATGGTTTAAAGTAGCCAGACCCAGATGTTTCAACACACAGGTTCCCAAACGTATTTGGCCTACCACCCCCTTCTCAGGCAGGAGCTTACCGCCTAGCAGACAGCAGCACCTCCGGGCAGGAACTCACCTGGCACGTTGTGGATGGTGATGGCCAGGATGAGCAGCGTGATTCTCCTCCAGCTACCGCCTGCGGGCTGCCCGGGGCTCCCTCGGGAGGGCCCGGCGGGCACAGGGCCTTCTGAGAGGCCGCCCGCCCGCCTCCTCTGGTATGCCTCGCCATTCTCACTCTTGTCTGCAGAGAGGAAGAGAGGGAGAGAGGGCGTTCAGAAAAGGGGCGGGCAGTGCACGTCTGTGGGAAAGCAGCGGGGGAAGCTTGTGGGAGCAGGACTGTCCTGCTGATCTCCTTTCTGCAGGCCAGGCCTTCTTCTGCCTGTCCGTTCCCTCACTCGCTCATTCACGCAGCCAACCTACGTCAAAGAGAACGCGTGCACGCAATCAAAAGGGAGAGGTGTGGGGCCTGTGGACGGACATCATGCTTGGGAACGTGGACGGTCTTCCCTCGCTGCGATGGACTGACACCAGGGCCCAAACACAGCAACGAGGAGGAGGATGCACAGGTCTGGCAGACAAACCCGACTGGGGTACACCTCAGAGCAATAGCAGCAGGAGCAGCAATGCCTGTGTGTGTCGAGCAATACTCACCCCACACCCCTGCCATCGAGTCGATTCCAACCCTAGCGAGCACTTCCTAGACCGCAATCTTTTAGAGAGAGGACAGCCTCGCCTTTCTCCCTTGGAGTGACTGGTGGGTTTGAACCACGGACCTTATGGTTGACAGTCTAACGCTTGTCCAATAGCGCCATCAGGGCTCCTGGGACAAGCAACACTGAGTAGTACTTGGGGGGAAAGAGTTAAAACTGAACCCCAAAGCTGAAGGCTAAGCTCCTCAACCTCCACCATGCACAGTGGCAGCAACGATGGTGCTGACCACAGCGCAGGGCCAGCCATGGTTCAGTCTACAGCACGTGGGATCCCAGGAGTTGGATCCAGAAATCGCAACTTAACTTGTTGGCAGGTGCCACCCTCAGTTCCGACTCACAGCGACCAGATGTACCACAGAAGGAAACACCACCTGGTCCTGGCCATCCTCACGATGGTTCTTAGATTTGAAACCACTGTTTTAGCCACTGGGTCAGTCCGCATAACAACAAAAAGCAACAGCAACAACATGAAACAAGCCACTAAGCAATGTGTCCCTTCTCCTGACTCATAAAAATTGAAGGACAGTAGCAGCTGTGTGGCGAGGATGAGCAGGAGGAGGGTGCCTCGAAGGGGTGCTGCCACTGTGACCGCTTTTCCTGCTTCCATGTGCCAGAGACTGAACTTGAAATTGACCCCCTGGACTCGTCAGGCCATATGGGCTCCTGGAGAAGCAATTCAGCTCCCAGGCTCAGCAGTTCTGTTTCTCTCCCCAGGGAGGGGACTGGTAGGTGGAAGGACTTGGTGACCTGAGTGTAGGTTATAGTTCTTGTGGTAGTTACACATCTGTTGTCAACTTGAGACTTAAGAGTGAACGGGTGGAGTTTAGCCTGTCAATCAGGTGGCAGCTTGATGAGCTCATTTGGAGGCACTAAGGAGATAAATAGGTCACTGGAGGCGGGACACAGGCTCACTCCCTGCAAGACATGCTTGCTGATGAGACACACGGAGCTATACTAGAGCCCTGGAGCTGAAGGAGCCATGTGGAGACCCATGCTGGGGTTGAGATGCCTCTACCACCACTGGATCCACAAGACTTTCCATCCACTGACCTGTGATCTTCCTGCATTCGGCATCATTGCATGTGTTTCGTGAGTCTGAAGAGGAATCCATGGATTGGTATCAGACATACGGGCTAATATCGGACATATGGACTTGATCTGGACTGGGCTGGGGTGTTTTCTCAATATTCAGTTGCTCTTTTATATAAAGCTCCGTCTGATGCACATATGTGTGTTTATGAACGTGTTTTTCTAGTCTACCAGGACTAACACAGATCTGGACCAACCCAAACCAAATGCACAGCGACCCTACAGGACAGGGCAGAACTGCCCCCGTGGGTTTCCAAGACTGGAACGCTTGACGGGAGGAGCAAGTCTCGTGCGTTTCCCCCAAGGAGCAGCTGGAAGTTTCGAACTACAGACCTGAAGATCCCAGTCATGAAGACCACGCCACTTCACGGCAGCCAAGATGGATCAAGACCCACTTAGTACTTGCATGCTCTTGAATTATAGGGCTGGTGAGAGTCCTGGCTCTACCACAGCCCACCAGAGAAGGAAAGTGTCTGTCCCGGAGCAAGGACGGCCCTTTAACACAATGCCGACGGTGCGCCTTGGCCTCACGTACTGCGGACACGTCATCTGGAGACAGGAGTTGCTGGAGAAGGGTGTCATGCTTGAAGTAGGAAACTTGAACTCCGGCCGCTGAGTGGATCCCGACCCCGAGCGAGCCTGTACGGCAGAGTGGAACTGCCCCCCTCCTCCGTGGGGGGGCTTTCCTGACAGTGTCTCTTCTTAGTTGTCATGGAGTTGGTCCCAACCCACAGCGACCCGAGTACTGCCCGCGCCCGCACCTGCCTCACCATTGTCCTGCCTACTGGGTGCCCGTGGAGGAAGTGCAGGCAGGACCAGGGGCGGCAGGCCCGTTCCCCAAACCCTGCTGGGTGTTGAACATGATTGGAAGCGTCGTGAGGCATGGGGATGGGGGTGCTTCTGAGCGAGGCAGAGATGAAGGCCCTGCCTCGGGGTGGGAGGGGGTTTCCATGTGTGACTAACGATGCAGGTGCCATCCCTGGTGGGAATCAGGTGGGTGAAAGAGGCTGACACACTTGAGAGGTAAACAAGCCATTGCTTTGATCGCCGCTAATGAGCTTGCAACGATTAGTCCAATAAGTAAATTGCTCCAGAGCGCAAGGAGAAGGAGGAGGGGGAGGAGGAAGAACAGGAGGGAGGAGGAGGAGGGAGGAAGAGGGAGGAGGCGGAGGAAGAGGAGCAGGAGGAGGAATCCCCAGCCAAAATGCTGCTTGGTTCGGTGGAAATAAACCAGACCTAGTTGCCGGTGAGTGAACCCGACTCAGGGTGACCCTATGTCCTTGGGTGTGCTCCACGGGCCGTCTCTGGAGTAAGTGGCCAGCCTCTTCCCCCGTGCCTCTGTGGACCCCAGTGTCTTTCTGGTTAGCAATGGCGTGCACTATTTGCACCTCTCAGGAACCCCCCCCGCCCCTCGCCTCCCCTCGTCAGGCCAGTGGAGCCATCGAATACCATCAAGGAAAAGTGAGTTGGGGTGAGGGTGCATGGGAGAGCCCAGAGTGGAGGTGATTGCAAAGCTAAGAGTGGGGAGAAGGGGCCTCGGGATGGTCAAGGGCCGGAGGAAAGGGGTGGACACTTTTAGAGCCGGGGGTGGAGAAGGGTCAGGGAAGGACATTTGGGGAACGCAGAGCAGACAGGGTGAGGCTCAGCGAGAACCCCCAGCTGTAGGATCCGAGAATCATGCCTTCCGTGGTTTCTCAATCGCCCCCCGCCGCCGAGCCCCACCAGGTGGGGATTACTCCTCCCATCAGGGACTTGAAGAACAGACAGGTGACAGCTCAAGGCTCCAGGTCACACAGGGAGCCCAAGGTGAGGACCAGGCCCACCCAGCCGGGTGGCCTGGGAGGCCACTCTGTGCAGAGGGGTGCTACTGGGCCAGCACTGGTGGAGCCAAGGGCACACAGGCTCGGGGCACCTGATAGCTGTCATGGTCCCCTCTCACAGGCAGACTGAACAACTCTGAGATCTCCCTAAAATCGGAGTTTCTTCGCACCTCCCGCCCACTCTTCCTGCGTGTGAAGCCTCCGTGGGGAGCAGTGCTGTGAAATCAACACCCCGCTCGGAACGCAGGGCTCTCAAGAGTAGGGGAGCCGGGGGAGTGGCTTCGAAGCGGCCCACCTTCAAAAGTAAATACAGTCAGAAAAGGGGCCCCTGAGGATGGCCACAAAGGATTGCCAAGGACAGCAAGCTGTGTCTTTCCCGGGCCCCCATGGCATCTGCCAGTGGAGAATAATGATCACATGGGCAGAGGGGACAAGCCCAAGGCTTGCTGTGCTGGGGTCCTTCCTTGATGGCTCTGCTCCTCAGGCGGCCTCTGCCCTGATTTTCACCCCAGCACACCACACAGAGCAAGTACTGACACTGGTCTGGGGACCTCAGGGAGCCTCACCTAGCCCCCC